GCCAAGGTTTAAAGCAGTATATAATAGAGTGGCCCTCGGGATGAAGAAGACTACAGTAGGAACAAAGCTGCTCAACCCTTGGAAATGCTCAGAGAAAGTATTTTCTCAAATATACAACCATAGAGCAATAAATAGAACTTTTATGACTCAGGCTTCATACCAAAAGTTTTTTTTTTTAGATAATTTTTATGATCATTCCTGTGTAGATATTCAGAATGAATAAAGAATCTATGGATTATTGATGTTTCCATTAACATTTTTACAAGTTTCCTGTTTGGCTCCACAGAAAAAGTAGGTTGAAATCTTTAAAAAAAAAAAAAAGATTGCAGATTGCAGTTGTCTAACAGGAAGATTTTGAAGTATTCAAGCGGCACTTGCTGGGATATGTGTTTCTATGGTAAAGAGGTCAACATGAAGAAAAAATGCTGACGAGTTAAAACTCACTTTAGTTTATTCTAATGGAGTGATGTAAATCAAGACGGGAGAGATTAGGAAACTAAAAACAGAAAAGAAAATGCCTGGAATGGAATATTTAACCAATTACAGTTTAGTTATTTGTAAAGTTAGATTATTCTTAACCATGTTAACGCTGTTGTGGTAAAGTGGGTATTTATGGTTATCAGATTACTGTTGGGCTTCCTTTTTAGCTCGTGGCACACCTCTTTGAGCTTGATCTGTTTGGGTTCTCTGCTGCCAAAGCCTTATGACCTTTATAAAGAGGACCTTGTGACAGATACTTACCTACAAAGACTGTATAGTCTTTCCTTAATAATCCGCACATGGTGAGGAACAGGATGGGGTGAAGGTTTGAATCAGATTAAAGCTTTCTTGTGAACATCTTGACAATTCCGACCAAAAAACTGTTTGTTGATCAGCTCTTTTGATGCTTTTTTTGGAGCTATAGTTTATTTAATATTAACTCATAAACTTGGCAAGTTTATATTAGTGTCTGTTTGCTGTGTTTAAAAATTTAATAAAAAAGGTAAAAAAAAAAAAAAAAGATGCTTGAAATTACACCCTCACATACAGCATACCCTGTACTAATTAGTTTATGGGGGTTTAGTCATGAAAGGCACAATGATAAGAGCATCCTACCGCTCCACATAGCTGAACAGAGATCCACTGCCCTGAAAAAACTAATTCTGCAAACAGAAGACATACATTCATAACGATGGAAGTTATCAGAAACAATAAAAGCATTTTTTTTTGGTCAGGCCTTAAATTTCTTTAAAAATCCAACAACAAAGAAAGCGGACAAAGAAGTTTAAATCCATGGTTATGGTTTTTTTACTTCTCAATTAGGTCAAATAATCAACTGCAACCCACATTATGCCGTTCCTCTTCACAGGCTCCAGTGGTGCAATGGGTCACCGCATGGTTCTTTTTCTTTCTAATTCTTTATGCCTCAATTTTACATTTTACTGCAAAAAAAGAAAAAAAATCAAGTGAGTATTAAATGTAAACACATCTTACATTCATTTTAAGACAAGTTTGATATACCAACAAAATTTGTGAATCTGGCTTTTATATGCCAGTGTTCTGTCAGATGAGCATACCCAGTCAGACCAGCATGCCCAGTCAGACCAGCATACCCATTCAGACCAGCATACCCATGGTCAATACCCATTTATCACTTTAGTTTATCTTTTGGGTTTTGTACGAAAAATACACTTTAAACTACCTCAATGGGCATGTACCCCTTTGTAATGTACAAAAAACGAATTAATTATTACTGTAGTGTTTTTTGAAGCCTAATAAAAAATGTTGTTTTGTACATGATTAAAGGGATACACGACTGTTGAGGTAGTTTAAAGTCTATTTTTCCTTCAAAACTAAAGGGATGAATGCAAATATGACATCTTGAGCGTGCGTATTGACTATAGGTATGCTGGTCTGATGCGGTATGCTCATCTGACAGAACACCAGCCTTGAATGTTGATGTTATGTAAACAGGTTTGCTCCCCCCACCATCCCTTCTCCTACATATGTGATCTGGTGTCCAGGAGCAGCGAAGGTTGACCAAACGACAACTGCTTCATATCAGGAACTATGGCTGAGAGGCGCTCTGGGCGTGGTTCATGGACTCATACACAGACACCCACCAACCATATCTCACATGGTTAAGGATGCATTTGCTCTCAGAGTCATCACCTTCACTCGCTTCCATGTGCTCTCATATGCTGTATGTAGATTTTTTTTCTTATTTTTTTGGGAAACCTTACATCAGTTTCTGTCATTCTTCTATATTATTGTTCTGTGTCTCTTAGATGGGCTGTTCTGGAATTTCTTTAATTTCACTTTGGGATTAATAAAGGCAAGTTGAATTGAATTTAACTGAATCAAGTATTCGAAAAATGTCAGATCTTACAGATGTTGTGCACTTGGTCTGCCATTGTTATTTATTTTTCAAAGGTCCCATATTATGCAAAATTCACATTAAATCATTTTGTAACAGTCATATGTATCCTGAAGCTTGTGTATGAGATTCACAAGTGAAAACCATCTTTTCACCTCACCTTTCTCCACCTCTTAGCTAATGTTTGCTAACAATGGTCTGTTATATAAAATAATTTCACTGTCCAGACCACCCTGTAGCCTTCGGTCAAGTAATGGCCTTCCTCAAATGCATTCTTTATCAACTCTGACTGGTTGTCATGGTTGCGGGTTGTGGCCGCCTGGTCTTTGGGAGGATGGGGGCGTAAAACCAAGACAGCTCGTCCAAAGGAAGACAGAATAAGGAGGTTCTTGGTAAAGGCTCCAACAGACTGCCACTCTGGGTCTACTAGCAAGACCCGTAACCCCACACTGCTCCCCGGGCGCCCCACGATGGCAGCCCGCTGCTCCCCAAGGGGAAGGGTTAAACGCAGAGGTACATTTCTCCAATGTGAGATCAAGAAAATTCAATTATTATTGTTATAATTATTATTAACCATGAACAGTGAATAGGGATGGACAGTTCATCAGGCTCAAAAGACATATACAGAGGACATATTCAGTGATATAAATCAACATTAAAAGGTTTAATGATTCCAGATAAAGGATGTTTAAACAGTGCAAAAACTAAGGACCCAAAACAACCCTGGTGCTTAAGCTTGGCAAACAAATTCAAATGTCTGTTCTGTTCTATGATCAGAGGAATTAAGCTTAGTCTAAAACTGATCTATGTCTTGGTCCTCATTTGAAGAACATTTCTGATGATGAGTGTTGCTCATCATCAGAAATGATGAAACAGTCAGAAACAGTCTGACATTTATTTTAGAGCCTTCGCCTTCCCACTGGAAAGTTGCAGGTTAGATTCCAGTTGCCACATTACCTGTAGATGGTTTTTCTTAAAAGGCACTGAAATCCACTTCACCACCTAACAGATTAAAACCTAACAGACAAAACTGAACCCAGATATTGACGTTGTTTCTAAAAGGCAGCTAATTCCTGTCAGTACAGACCGTCTTTCCGTTTGCAGTCTAGTCATTTCCCAGCTGTGTCTCTGTCTCTTTCTGTACCTTCACTCATTGCCGTCAAGAGCATAAAGATGAGACATCAGACCCATTTCCTCATCAAATCCCCTTCTCTGTTGCACCTCAGGGTGTAATTGTAATAAAATCTTTATTAGTCACCACCCTGGGTAACTCCACTTGCATCCACTTGCATCCACTAAAACTCGGCAAGCTGTCAAATTTAAAAAGGTTTCCAATAGCAACACTGTGCATGTATCTTGTTTTCCTCTATGTAGATAAGGAGGACTAATATCCTACACATCAGTGGGTTTTTCAATATGAAATACCTTGGAGCTGGATTTATTTCTCAGATTACTGCTCAAGGTACAGTTCATGACCTTAAGCAGATCTAAAAAAGAAAAGCTCCTGATATGATTGTCTATAGCTCATCCCGATTTTGAATGATAAATCATTTTTATGTGTTGCTGTGTTTCTATAACAATAATAAGAGGAAGCAGTAAAGTCTTGGTTGTGTCTGATTAAACTAATATTGGGACTCCTGAATATTCCAGTTTAATGAAAGGATTGATTTTGAGCTGAAGCGCTACATTTAAATAAATATAAAGTATAAAAAATTTACAAATGAATTAATTTTGATGTCGAAATAATAACCAACTGTAATAGTTGGATGTTAAAAAATGAAGCACCCAAATATTTTGTAGTTTCTATAATGCCATGAAATCCTTTCACTGTGACTCGCTAAATAAATCCTAACATCTGGATTCTTGACCTGGTCAGCTTTCTGACCATCACCTTACTGTCTAGCAGTTATAGCTACACCCACTTTATCTCTCTCCTAAACCTCCCACCTGGAGAAGAATGCCTAAGAACGGCTCTTCTCTTTTGGAAAGTTAAAACTGTGTAGGCTCTAAAATCCTGTCTCTCACCGTGACGGTGTGATGCTGAGAGGAAAGACTTAACATGGGTGGTAAGGACAGTATGGGGCATTGTGGGATACCAGAACCGGACTCGATTTATGCTCCACAGGAAATAGAGAGATGCATTCCTACAGATTCCATCCTAACAGGCTTTGAGCCTTTGTTTGCACTACAGGAAGTTGGTTCAGCTGCATTAAATCCAAAACAAACACACCCGCAGACACTTAATAGTTAATTTCATGACCAATATCTATTTGTGAGCAGTTCTTTATGTAAATACATCATGCTATGTCCCTTATGCAATTCATACTTCGGGATGTTTTTCAGCTGCTATAAGCGATCCAACTATTCCCTCCCTGATGTGCCTTGGAATGTATTTTTCTGTTTCATAATTGCAATAAATAATTCATGTTTCTGATTATTTTTTGGACAAGAGATACATTATTTTCATTAGACTGTTCAGATGAAGTAGCTGATATTTGTTGAATAAATGCTAATTTATGAAACTGCATTTAGTTTAGTTTTCCCCAGTTCACTAAATCAAAACACAGATGTGTGTTTGAAAACCAACAACTAACTGATGTCATGTTCACACTTTTCTGTTTCCATTTAATGTTTTGTCATCCAGGTCTGCTGACTCTGTGTGGTGCAAGTCTCTACATCATTTACTCGTACCAAGCCCTGGCAGAGACAGAGAGTCTGATTGGACCTGATGGTCTAGCCTCCATCCACACCTCCTTCGGCTGGTCTTTAGGTCTGGCTTGGCTCTCCTACGGCTTGGAGCTCCTCACTGGAACTTTACTCCTCATCGCTGCACAAATGGCCAAGCTGCGGCAGAGAGGTCCCACTAAGGCCTGACACGTCTCTCCATATGGATTTCAGTTGTGAAAAAAATCATTTTAAGCCAGAGTTAACTCAAAAGAAAAGCAAAGGTGTGGTAAGCTGGTGCACAATGCACCCGTAGTGTTTTACAAGAAGAAAAAAGTGAATGGCCTGTGATCGATTGTGCCCACTTGTGATATGTGTGTGTCAATCATGGTGTTTCATTTGTGGCAAACAAGCCTACGTATTTAATGTAAGATATAGAAAGTTGCTCACTTTAATATCATATTTCACACAAACTTCAGTTTTTATCATTGTATAACTCATATTTTTTGCTTTTAATATAATAAAGAAAACTGTTTAATGTTGTCATACCATGACACGGTACAAAATTAATAAAATTATTCTGAATGTTTATAGTTTTGCTATATGTAACAATGTAATGCCTTACTTCGGCTGTTTTAGCCCAATCAAACACTGAACTTCAGAGGTTTGTTGTCTACTTTACTTTTGGTTCAAGTATCCACAGTTTAACTTTCTCATGAATTATTGGTTACAACCACACTCTGATGGCAGAGGGCTTTTAAATGAGGAAGGTAAATAGAAATTTAAAAACTGTGGCCAACATTTTGCACTCATCTTCATTGAGTCATTTTTTATAGAACCCAAATTTTCTGCAATTACTACTAAAACTTTGGGGTATTCTCATACAAGGATTGTTTACCTATAGAAACTGAGATTTGTTGCCACTTCTATAGAGTAGAAGTCAAACCCAGTCAGATTAAATTAAATTCAAATTCAAAAATACTTTAAATATGGATGAAATGAATCATGGAAAATATCCAGTTTCCAAGACATTTGATAGATTCTGAGTTGAATTTCTGAGCTTCAGTTGAAACATGGTTGATATCTGATTACTTAACCATTCTCATGTGGACTGGAAGGAGAACTTAGCATCTGGTATGAATCTCCTATGTTTATTTTTATTTATTTTTCCACACCTGAGACCAACATCCTTGTCCCTACAAATAAAAGTATCACTACAGTGTGATGATCACACCACTGTGTTTCACCATGGGGCCATATAGGCATGGTGCAGAAAAGGGTTTCTCTCAACAGTGGCTTTGTCCTTGAAACTGTGTCATTTAGGTCTGGTTTGAGGAGGACATGACTGATGTTAGTAGCGCTGTTGGTGGATTTTCCCATTTGACCCATGGATCTCTGCAGTTCCTCCTTAGTTTTGATGGGTTTCTTAGCCACTACATTAATAATAAGTCCATTGTCTGTGAGTTTAGATGAACGGGCATGTCTTGGTTGGTTTGCAGCTGTCATAGGATACTCTTTCCATTTTCAGATAAGGTTTTGGGCAGTGTTCTGTCAGATATTCAAAGCTGAGGATTTTGTTTTGTAAGCTATCTTCTCTCTAACTTGTCTGCTCTAAGAATAAAATCTAAAAAGATGGACTTCTTTTTACATATTTGTTGCACTGGATTTATTAGGGTGTAAAATAACAAAGGGTCTGGATACAAGCACAGAAAATACTCATTTTATTTTAGGTTGGTATTTATTTAAAAAAAAAAAAAAAACGTGGGTGTTTTTCATTACAGTAGAAGGGGCATATAACTTCATACGCTGTCTGCATATATCCCAACACTTAATTCAGAGCTAAAAATCCCATCCCAGAAAAAAGGTGAAATGACAAAATTCCTGCTGGCTTCCATTCTAACTAACCATTGCCGTATGCTGATGTGAGACATGGCAACAAGGATAACATGTTCTCCCTGCCAGCAATACATGCAAAAGAAGGCTTCCTCTCCCATAGCCGATTAGGCTGAGCATCAGAGGAACTAAGGCAGACCTTGACAGGGGTTTGTTTTTTCCTAAAGACCCAGTATTTAAGTCTGACTATACATTTTTACATGTGTAATGCATTGCATTTGAGCTGGAATAGACAGCCTGTATGCCTGATTTAAGTGAAAGCATTTTCTATTATTTTGCCTAGAGGGCGGCCATCTTGGATCGGACCACAGTTCACACAGGTGCTGTCAGAATAACAGGACGCGCCTTAGATCTCATTTTAATAACAAAATATTATAACAATATCACAACCCCTTAAAAGACCAAAACAAATTTTAAAATTAACTTTCAGTTAGATGACACATATTTATTCAGATTAAAAACTATTCAAACTGAACTCAAACTGGATGAGATATATGCAAAGTTATATATTTTGCAAATAAATATTAATATGATAGACACAAAGTTTTATATTGATATGTTATATATATTATGTATTCAGTATTTTAAAGGTTTATTTTTTGATAAGGAGTATCATGATCTACAGAGGAAAATTTTTTGTAATGTGATTTACAAAATAGTAAAGTTAATTTGTTTTTTAATAAAATTTATGTTAAATATAATGTATTTTTTGTCATTGTCAACTAAAGGTTTGCATTCTTTTAAGTTTGTCTAAATTTTTCTACAAATCTTTTTCAAACTATTATTTATGCATATGTGAACATTTATCCTTTAATCAGTTAATGAGTAAAAAGTGAAGAAACATCTAAAGTCACCAGAGGATCTCCTGGCGCCATCTTTAAATACTTGACTTTGTTTGCAAAGTCTTTGTTTTCTTTGTGATGCGGTACGTTTCCCACCAGGGAGGCTAAAATGTTAGTACGCTGTTTAGCAAAGAAGTCCAGGGGTAGAAGTACGAATTAGAGGCTAATATAATAGTAGCAGATGAGGACTGAGAATAAACATTTAGCTCTGGACACAAATTAACCAACAGCCCAACATGGAGGGAATTTGATCTGGAAAGTTAAGATGTGTTACTTTAGCTCTCCAATTATTACATCTAAATATGGTGGGACATCTTGGCTATGCTGGAGAAACTGTAGAAAGGTGGGGAATTTTGCTCATATATTTTGGGATTGTCCAAAGGTGGTTTTGGAAAAATGTGCAAACAGATATAAAAAATATTTTAGGCGTTTATTTAGATCTGGATATATCTGTATATATTTTAGGAATAATTCCCATGGACATGATCAATAAAGACAATAAATACTTGATTAGGGTTATGTTCCTGATCGCGAAGAAGTGTATAACATATGCATGGTTAAGGCCACAACCTCCTAGTATCACAGAGTGGAGAGATAGAATCAGAAAAGTCTACATCATGGAAAAAACAACATCAAGACTACAATTTAAGCTGGAGACCTTTGAAACTAAGTGGAAACCTGTAGCTAAATTCATATTGGGACCTTGACGCCTCTTTGGTCTTTTTTTTTTTTTTTATTAGATTGTGCATCTCTTGACTTTATCTTGTATTATGTGCTTGTATTACTTTAATCTGTTTTCCCAGTGTGCCTACTGTTGTACGTTTCACCGTAATCATTGTGACTTATAAATCCATGGATGTTGTTAATGAATATGGGTTTCTCTTAATTGAGCTAATGTCTATCTGAAGGAAATGCATCTTTATTTGTCGTTTTTGGAGATTCTTTTTGTAATTTTTTCCCATCAATTGCCCCTGGATAACTGTTAATGGAGCTGGAATAGACAGCCTGTATGCCTGATTTAAGTGAAAGGTCTAAAATGATCTATAAAAATCAGATATTAAGATGTGAATTGTGAGAGGTGACAAGGGTGGACATATGTATGTGTTGATATAAAAATTGTTATTGAAAATAAAAAGTTAAAAAAAAAAAAAAAAGTCCAGGGGGACTCAGAGTGGCTCAGGTCATCCTGACCTTTCGCTGTAATCATGCTGCTATAGGCTTAGGCTGCTGGGGGACATAGGGACCACTATTCTATCAATCTGCTTAAAGGAATAGTACACCCAAAACATGATTAGCCTTCATTTTCTACTCAC